GGCCCTCTGGGGCAGTAGTGTCTTGGGAATATCGCCGACGGCCATGCATGGCCTAAGGCTGTCGGCGGCTCACGCTCTAGGACGTCATCCCAAAGGGGCCTCCCTGGGAATTCGGCTGCATTCGTTTCGTCTGGGAGAAATCGTCGGCCCGTTAGTGGCCTATGTAGGCCATGTGGCCTTTCAATGGGCCACTGCGGTCTGGGACAGTTTTCCCAAGGTTTCGATTTTGAATGTGACGGCCGACGCGGCCATAGCTCGAGCCAATTCGAAAAGGCACCCATGGCGGGGAGCTGCGACACCTGCGGATGTGGCAGTGCTCAGTCTTGCTCGTGTGGGCTGGACGTTTAGAGATGTTCGTACGGTCGAAACTGACCTCGGGCAGGTCTGGAATCTCTCTCAGATCGCGCCTGTGGGGTTTCGGTTGCAGGTCCGTGCGGCGGCAGTCAGAGCGTCGGACAGACATGCGTTGATGCAGATAGGTGTTGAGCTCCAAGGGTACCCTCTTTTCTGGGATGCTGTGAGGCCCCTCCTTCGCTCCTCCTCCTCATCTTGGAAGCCCCAGCATCAGAAGGCCCTCAGGAGCCTAATGAGTAATGTGCACTGGCCCCAAGCTAGAGTGCACAGGCATGGGTATCACAGTTGCGGTAAGTGTAGGCTGTGTCAGGAGGAAGCGGAGACCCTTTTTCACAGACAATTTCGCTGCTCGGCTCACGCTGTGCTCAGGAGGGACATGGTCTCGCCGCAGCTAGCCAGACGGGCGGCCCGCGTGCTCGAGGGAGGAGAGGAGCTGGCTGAGAGATTCGCGCGCGCGATCTGTCCGTCGCCGCTGGCGCTCTTCCCTGCCCGGGAGCCTGAACAGATTGTGTTTTGGATTAATAGGCCTGAGACAGGCCGCCTCAGTGGTTTATTTTTTTCGGACGGGTCCGCTTCTTGGCCAGGGATTTCTGGGCTTTCGAGGGCTGGTTGGGCCTTAGTCCAGGCCGACCCCCTGGGCAATGTCATCTCGGCTTGTTACGGACCCGTCCCTTTCTCCCATGGGCCCCGCCAAACGGCCAAGGCTGGGGAATATTATGCAGTATATATGCTGGTTCAGTGTGCGATGGCGCCGATTGATTTATACTGTGACTGCCAGGGAACTCTGGATGTCCTCTGGGGCGGCCAAGGGGCGGGGGCCTCGGCTGGAGGGCCCAGGGCCCACCTGTGGGCTCCCTTCTGGTCCAGTTTTTCTCCAGGGGACTTCGCGGCGTTTAAGACGGCAGCTCACTGCTCGATGTCGGACGTCCACAGTGGCAGGACGACCTTGTGGGAGAAGCGAGCCAATGATTCGGTGGACTCTTATGCAAAGATGGGTGCTGCTAAGCACCAGCTTAGCCAGCAGGACGTTGACTTGTACAGAGGTCTCAAGTGTCTTGTGAAAGAGTCGGCCAAGTGGGCTGCCCAGCTAGAGGTCCACCTGCAAGGCCAGGCAGAAAAGCGTTTGGACACTGTCGGCCTTGCAGCTTCGGAAAAGAGTGCTCCCGATGCTCACGAGTTGCCGCCTCAGCCTGAGCCAGAGATTGAAGAGTCTGTGGGCGGGGAGGGGGTGGACTTGGGGTCGGGGGGGACGGGCTGCTTAGACTGGGCCGACATGGCCGCCTCAGCCTTCTTTCTGCAGGGCCACGCTCTCATGTGCTGTGTCATCGAGAGTCCCGCCCGTGCTGGTGTGCCTATCGTGTTCTGTGTGAAATGCGGGGCCTATTGCGAGGACTATAGGCCAGGCGACCTGCTAGCGGCAGGGTGCAACCACAGGCCTCGCTCCGCGCAGGTCAAACACCAGCTGAAGAGAATTCGGGATGGCAGGCACCCCCACGGTAAGGCCTCGTCCAAGAATTTGGTTGTGTCCCAGCCTCGAGGGCTCTCGGAGGCTGAGAGGGACCTCATGAGTGTTCGTTGCCTTGCCTCGCCTTCTCCTGCCGCAGGTCAGGCGGGCCGTCGGCCCAGGCTCGGCTACGCTTGCCGCCAGGCCGTGCTCGATGCATACGGCCTCCAGGAGAGCGACCTCGACATGGTCAGGTCGCTAGGCGAGGCGGCACCCCGACCTGCCCAGGATCCCGAGGATGAGGATGCCTCGGATTCGGAGGGGGAGGTCTTCTAAGTTTTTTCGTTGGCTTTAGGTCGCTCCACAACAACAACCTCCTCCTTCCTCTCTTACCTATGGTAGTGGTGGTGGAAAATGGGCCCATCAGTCCTTCCTCCTTTTTTCGGCGGAGAGACTGGGGGGGAAGTGAGAAGGGGCGGGCCTTCTCAGAAGGCTCGGAAGTCCCCCGGCCTTCGGGGGAGTCTTCTGAGCCTTCCCCGAAGTCAGGGGCAGCGATGGGGGGGATACGCATGTGGGGGGGGGATGCATCGACACCCAATCGCCCATTGATTGCCGGTAGAGGCTTGATAGCCCCAACCTGCCCAGGAAGTTGCGGATTCACCAGCGGAGGCCTAACGCCGATCTATCGGCGATGTATCGCCGATTCCAGGTCGATGCGTCCCCCCTTGCAAGTCCCCCGCTACCCCCTATCGTTGATTGCCCCTCATCAAGACAAACAAACACTGCTCAGGAGGCGGCGAGGGCTTCTGAGAAACCCCGCAGCCCTTTGAGAAGGCCTTCTCCTTCTCACTTCCAGCCCTCGCTCGCCGCCGAGAAGAAACACGATGCCCATGACCAAGATGTCGCGGGGTCTTGTCGATGCCGATCTTGGTCATGGTCCATGCCTGCCGTCGCCGACTCGCGAGGATGATCCTCGAATCGACGATGACCAAGATGGACGATGACCAAGATCGCCACCGACGCTTCTTGGCTCAGTCTTGGCCATTGTCTCAGTTTTCCTTTTCTCAACCTTCGGCCCCTCCGTTGCGACGCCCAGCCGACGCATCGGCGATGCGGCTCTGCGTGGATCCCGATCTTCTCCACGCCAATGCGCCGCCGATGCGTCGCCGATGCGGCGCCGAAGCGTCGCCGATGCGGCACGACCTTCCGACCCCATGTGCTCGGACCCGTATGCGAAGTCTCCGCTTGGGCCCCTCGGGAGGGAGATCGCCCGACGTCACGCCCAGGCGGGCCCTCGCGCGAGGATGGGCCACGCGCAGAAGGGGGGGTAGGGGGGAGGGGGGAAGGCTTCTCAGAAACACCCTTGTTTCTCAGAAAACGCGGGCCTTGTCTGCAGATGTAAGGCCAGCGCCTTCTAAGAAACAACCGCCCTCTAAGAAGCCTTTCCCTCTCCCCCTAGCCCGCTGTGCGCGCGAGGAGGGAAGGAGGGAGGGAGGGACGGAGGGAGGGAGGGAGGGAAGAGGAGGATGAGGAAAGGGAGGGAGGGAGGGAGGGAGGGAGGGAGGCAGGGAGGGAGGGAGGGGGAGAAGGATGATGATGATGCTGATGATGATGATGATGATGATGATGATGATGATGATGATGATGATGATGATGATGATGATGATGATGATGATGATGATGATGATGATGATGATGATGATGATGATGATGATGATGATGATGATGATGATGATGATGATGATGATGATGATGATGATGATGATGATGAGATGAGATGATGATGATGATGATGATGATGATGATGATGATGATGATGATGATGATGATGAGGAGGATGGAGGAGGAGGAGGAGAGGAGGAGGAGGAGGAGGAGGAGGAGGAGGAAGAGGAAGAGGAGGAGGAGGGTGACGGGGCGGCGCGGCGGGCGCGCGGAGGGCGAGAGCCCCTTGGCCTCTTCCCGGAGCGGGCCCTGGCCAGGCGACGAGGCGACCGCCGCCGGCGACGACCACCGCCGACGGCGCCGACGACGCCGACGTCGCCGTGGTCGTGGTCGTGGTCGTGGTCGTCGTCGTCGTCGTCGTCGTCGTCGTCGTCGTCGTCGTCGTCGTCGTCGTCGTCCTCGTCGTTCTGTTCCCTCGAGAGGGGGGGCCAGCGGCCGCGGCGGCGGCGGCGGCGACCGCCGCCCCGCGCAGGCGGCGGCCGCGGCGCGGCGCCCGCGGCCGCCGCGCGGCGCAGCGCCCGCGGCGCCGGCGGCCTCGGAGGGCGACGGCCCCGCGCGGAGCGCGCCCCCATGGACGGGGGGGGGGCGGCCACGCGCAGAGGGGGGGGGGGGCAGGGGGGGCCACGCGCAGAGTGGGGGGGCAGGGGGGGGGAGCCACGCGCAGAGGGGGGGAGGCCACGCGCAGAGGGGGGGGTCGGCCACGCGCAGAGGCGGGCAGGGGCAGGGGGGGGAGCCTCCGCGAAAGCGTCGAGGCGGAGGTGTTCCGGAGGCGTCCAGAACCGAGGGCGTTCGATGCATCCCCCCCCCACATCTCGTCGGGGCCGTTGGTTTTGTTGAAGGATTTCGGCACGCGCGCTCGGCGACGCGCGCGCGTGCACTTCTCCCATGTTTGCGAGGGTCGAATAACTCTTCGTAGATGAAGAGGTGTGCGCGCATTGTTTTATGTTGCAACGAATCAGGGGAGGGGGGGCGATACCGGCTTGGCTGGAATCGCATGAGTGCATCTTTCGAAGGATCGATGGGGCAAAATCGAATGCACATGGCGCATTCCCACGGTGGCGGATACTCCCAGTTCTTTTTTTTTGATGGGGGGGGAACCGTTCCCGCGTCGATCCTGCTGCCGCTGGGCCGCCCCCGCGCGGTTCGCAGTGGGCCACCATGTCGGCGACGATCGATTTTTCGCGCTGCGCTGTCAGCTGTCCGTGGGGCTGCACTGACGACGCATGCAGCGGCGCTCCTCCTCCTCCTCCTCCTCCTCCTCCTCCTCCCCCTCCTCCTCTTCCTCCTCCTCCTCCTCCTCGTCGTCTCCTGGGAGGGCCTTTGCCGCGCGGCGACGGCGATGCTCGAGCCTGAGGCGCGGCTTCGGAGACCCGCCCGCGCGGGGGGCCGAGCGGGGGAGCAGCGTGACGCTCCCGCGGGGGCCGCGCCGCCCGAAGGTTTCCGGCCTCGGCGGCGGCGGCGGCGGGCTCGCAAGCGCCAG